AATTTTCTCATTAATTATTCCCCAGATTTCCTCCTGAGGTTTTAAGTTCTACCTGTGTTACAACATCTAATTAGCTGTACCTAGGTTGCATGTGGCCCTTGAAAAACCGCGTGTGCCACAGTCGCTATAGCAATACAGGGTTGATATGCATTTTTTTTGCCACACATATTTAAGCACAAATGTGTGGGATTGAGTTCTCTTTTAAAGTTACATTCATTGCCTGGGTTTTATGTACAGCGTTATGTGTACCTTCTTTCATTTCCTTTTATATGCTTACATAATAGACAAAATTTAGAAAAATTAGTCCAAGAGAACTACTAAGACCAATTATGAAGCAAACAAGAACACAGATCTGAGGTTTTTCTTTGGAGTATCAGACAGATAGCAGAGAAAACTAAATAAAAATGTATATAGTGAGCTAATCACAAAAAGAGTATTATATTGAAATTTCATCTCCAAATAAAATACAGGAGGAGGGGAATTAGGCAAAAATAAAGGGATGAGCTATGGGCTGATTTTTTATTTATTTAGCTCTTGATGAAATATTGTGTTTAAAAGAAGTAACTTCTGTTTTGTTCTATTTTTAGTTGTTTAGTGCCAGCTAATAGAAGTTGTCAGGCTCCAAAAATCACTTTCTGTGAAGATTTAACTTTCCAGACATGTTGAAGTTAAAACACTCTTGGTTGTTTCTTGACCAGTAACGTTAAAATTACTCCCTATTGTTTTCTAGATTGTAAATAAGGTGTATATCTGTGTATAGTTTAAGGCTGTTTCAAGAGTAAGGGATATAGGAAGGTTAAGCGGTATAGCCATAGGGGATTGGGTACAGTTTTGGGTACTAACATGACCCAAATATGATTTTCAGTATTTCACTTAGAAAGAAGCCCTGAAAATTAACAAGATACCATCTCAATTACTTCATTTATTTTAAAAATTGGATACCACTACAGGTGCTCATACTGCATCTGGAATTTTGGCAGGGCTTTGGTTTTTGCTGCGAAACTTCTGCTTATACACAGAGCTTCTCGGGAAGTTCTTCCTGCCCACCAAAGCTCGAGTAAAACTATCATACGATTTTGATTCAAATTCATACTTGAGTTTTATTAGGCACAGTATCACTGTTCACAAAATTGTCTTTGCTAACTTCATTACGTCTTGATTGCTTTTCACTGAGTCGTGAAAGGCAGAATGTTTCTGGAGTTTCTAAATGTATTTGTCTGAAACTTTCTCAGTGAAGGCCCTTGCTTATTGGCAAATGTGTCTATTTTGGCTAAAAAACAAAATCAGAAATCTTTATAAAGGGACCTAATGTCATTACAATTTGGGAGAAAATGAAGTTCAGCAGTCCTGTAAATATTAATTTGTTTAACCTAAAACACTCCTGATGTTTTTGAGGGAATAAAAGCAAAAGTATCTGGTTTTAACTAGTAGTAAAAAGAAGTGTGGATTCTGAAATGTGTTGTTGATTCGTTCTGAAGCTGAATTGCAGAGAAATGCCATGCTGGCTCTTGGTAGAATAAATCCCCAAGTTGGATAAAAGTTGCCTTAGGTTTGCCTGCTCTAGGGTAACTAGTGCTGATGTTGAGAGACAAGAAACTTCACACTATTATGTTCACTAAATATGCCTGTTCTCTGCAATCAATATTAACATGCTGTGTCTGAAGATTGCATGTTAATTGGTTTGCTAAAAATTAGTGTTACTGATGCAACAATGTGCTAATGCTACATGTGATGCTGTTCTGTGCATTAATAAATGATATGTATGGAGTCTAAAATTGGATGAAATTGAGAAGGATTTAAAAACTGGTGAATTTAAAATGTTTTTGGTTCTATAACAAGGTTTCTTAAAGTCCACAAAGGATAATATTGTCAGGCACTACAATAGCTTGGTGTTGAGTAAGCTTAGTATCTCCTTCTTTTATTGTGTAAAAATTCTTGGACTTTTCAGTCAAGTATTTCTATCTGTTCCTGTGAAGCTCTGTTGGAGAGACTTCTAGTTTTGAAAGCAAACTCAGTATTAACAGGCCTCCATCATTTTTAGTGTTAACAACAGTGTCCGTAATGTGCTAGGTGATGGCTACAATGATTTCAAAGACAAAATTTTCCTCTAAGACAACAAGCTCTAAGTGAAGGAAGTCAGAGCAGGATACAGTGTACAAATTTTAGAATTAATACTAAAAATGCATCGATAGCCTTCATTTTTTGATTGTTTTTTTTATTATTATTATTTTATTCCTGTTTAATTCCTTACTCATCTTAACAATTCAAGCATGTACTCAATATCTCTCTGTGTGCCAGAAAGCTGTCTTGGGGAGTCATTGGGGAGATGTTATTTCTCTGGAGGCCAGTGGTGCCAGCTTTCTATTACGTCCATCAGCATAAAGGGGGTACACTTTGTTCCATGTAGTGCATGCTGGAAAGCTAGGGTATTTCCTAAAATGCCTTGATGCTTTGAAATACAGATTTCTCCTCACCGCTCAGCAAGAGAAGCTGTCTTTTTTTTTTTTTCTTACCTTTAAATTATATTTAAGTGAGATTATAATTAAATTCATGTAGAGAGTGTTTAGAACATCAAAACCAGGGTAACACACACTCTTATAAAAGATGCAAGTGAAGATGGGAACTGCACTTCAGCTTTGAGAGACTTTTCTGATTTAATCTTACTGAAGTACAGTTTTTGCTATCTGGATGACTTTGTAGGTCTCCACTGGTAGAGCAGCCATGTGGATTTCTCTCTGTGTGCCATGTACCTGAGATTGCAGCTCTTAAATAGAGCTTTTATCACAGAATTCCTGTCTCGGTTGCCCAGGCAGAAAAAAACTATTTATAGCCCAAATGCCTCTTTGAAGTGGCGTGATGAGCAGCTTTCATCCTTCACTTACTCTGCTTACTCCTGGCTGTTCTTAAATAAAGTAAGTGTGCTCGTGTTTCTTTTCTCAAGCTAGTCAGCATCCTTTGTACTTGGCAGGCTAACTAGCAGGTTGTCTTCCCGTAGAGTAGTAAATCTTTTGCTGTTCCTTCTGTTGACTAATACATATCTCAGTGTAAAGTGTGTTACATTGATTCTTATATTCTAACTCTGCAAGTTAACGGATATACATCATACTGGTTGCTCAGTACTCGCTCTGGACTGAGTAAGACAGCATAAAACTGTAGTTAAACAGTGTGAGGCAAGTGACTTCCAGTATTTTTCTCCTTGTTATACTGTAGCATTTTCAATAAAAAGAATCTGGTAGAGTCCTTCCTCTGTTGTCTGTCCTAATTTTTTTTTTTTTTTACATTTATTTGTGTGTCTGAAGGCAGCTGAAATTAGGTATGATACTGCAAAACTAATTGGGGTATATCACCAGGTAAAAGGCTAGTTTCCTGCTGCTGATGATTTTAATGGGAAAATAAGAGCTAGGTAAAGAGCAAAAGACCATCTTGAATGGTCAAGTATCTTGTGGGAAAAAGGCTTGTTTCTTTTTGTGCTGGAACATGTGTTGTCTTCTGCTGTACAAAGGGGAAGGAAAGAGGGGATGTGGAATAAACTGAATTTTCTCAGTGTGTGTTGAAATTTCAGATGTTCTCACAATTCTAGTTAAATTCATCTCTTCTTTATGGGATATTGCAGTTTGTGACTCACTGTTCCCTTCGCTGTTAGCTCGGGTAATTCACAATCAATCTGTCACTGTGATTGCAAGAGGACAGACAAAAACTGTTGGTGGCTGCTGTTTTGGTTATGCTGTAAAGCAGCACTTCAGGACTGTTAAAAAAGGTCTGAAGAGCATTAGCGGTATTTTGACCTTGATAGATACGTTTGAAGAGTTTTAAGAGTCATGTTACTGTAAACCTGCTACTGAACTTGGGACTTTGAGTCCTGTGCCCTGGGCAAGTTAGCTACAAATAGTCCACGTAGCCACTTTCCTAGCTGTTTTTTCAGTATTTCTGTTAGAGCAGAGTCAACAGCAATGAACATGTACCTATTCCTTAGTCACTGTTCCTCTGACATGGTAGCACGAACGTGGTGAATAGCTAAAGGAAAGTAGCGTGTTAAAGTTTTAGATCAAGGTGGCATAGAGTTTTGAGTTGGAGCATTTATTTGGGGGGACGAGCATTGTGATTAAAGGTATCTATGATCAGCATGAGTGAAGACTTTTTTATTATAACATAGGAATACAAGGTGCAAGGGCAATTGATTCTTGTATGACGTAGACATGGAAATATTAACAAAAAAAATATGTAGACACCGAGTGAACTGGAAGAAAAATACTTTTGATTTTGCACTTCTATGTTTAACTTGCTGCAAATTACAGTTTCTAGTACAGAGCTACCCAAAGGTTCCTTATTGCTGCTGGCAGTAGCAACTGCAGCCCACATGTTATCACATGAGGGTACGTTTCACTGCTTGGGCACTACTCTCTTTTTGCAGTAGAGAGCCTCTGTAACTATATTTTGGGAAGGACAAGCAGCATTGTTGGTTGGTTGTGGTGGGAAAGAGAAGTTGACAAATATAGTTGTACTTTCCTAAAGAAAAAATAGTTTTTTGAAAAAACAGTGACTTGAAGAGGTACAAAAATATTTGTACTTTCACATCATAAAGAAAATGTAGGTGGTGGGGTTTTGGTTTTGGTTTTTTTTTTTAACAGATAAAAACTGTGACTTGAATAGCAATCTGGTCTTGTTGATAAAGTGTATATAATAATCTCATCTGTATAAGTGTAGTAATGTAATTCTGTCAAGAATCTCCACAAAGTCTTGTAATCTGTCCATGGAGAAGGCATGGTATTGCATTTGTTTGTATTGCAGTAGCTTCTAAAAGTCTGATGGAGCCTGAATTTCTAATGTGATATGTACTCTACAAACACATAAAAAAAGCATTGTTCCAAAATTTTTGTTGCGTATAGTTTTAAGGTTTTTTTTTCAGGTATCCTAAAAAGAGCTTCTAGTTTTATTTTTATGGTTATAACTTTCACTTTGCCTACTATTCACACTGATTATGGTATAAATTTCCTTTGCAGTTTACGTGTGAACTTGGACATGGGTAAGGCAGCCTATGGGTGGATGATTATGAAAGATGACAATATTCCTGGAACAGTTGTTCGAACTAGCACCATACCAGAAGAGTTGGGACGATTAGTTTATTTACTAACGGATAAAACAGGTATATCAGGTTACAATTCTGAAATATGATGACTTTTATAAAATTTCTAAACTTTATTCTATATTTGAATATGTTAATGTAAGAGTAGATTTAGACTACTGATTTTTATTTTTCAGTAAAAATTTTAAGCATGTGTGTAAGGACTTTGTACCAGTACCAACAGGCTTAGGTAGGCCGGTACTTCCATGTGGAAGTCAGTATTTGGCAGTAATCTCATTTATTCCGGTGGGAACACTCCTGCTATAGTAACAGGACACTGGATAGCATTAGTAAGAGTACTATATATCTTACTCCGAAAAGACTCTGGATTAGCACTCAGGATGCTATTTTATTCTGCACCTCATTTCTACTGCAATATTGTACGATAGTAACAGTGAAGAATGGCCTTCAAGAGAGCAAGTCATTTCCAAAACAAGTCATAAGATCAGCCTCCAACATGACATCTGTTATCCCCGTGAAGTTAGTTGCTCTTTACGTTACAAAGACCAGTCCTAGAGCTGTTGTATGTTTTCATCTTCATAACTGTAACCTGTTACTATACCTGACCTGGTATGCTGGAAAGCCCAACCCTTACCAGGATCAGAAGGTAGGTAAGTGTGTGAAGTAGTAATAGCTTGCAGTACGACTGAAACTTGTTACAGTCTTACTATGCTCTTAATTCTGGATGTATTTAAGGAATCTTAAAGTTTATTTTGGAAAAGATCATAATAAATAACAAGTTAAGTTCTGTAGCAAATACAGTGTTTCTTCTCCTTTCTTGGTTCTTTCCTGAGATTGAATAAATCAGTTCTGGTAGACATACTGGTTTTTTTAAGAAGCTGAACTTTTGAATTGAGAAAGTTGTTGATCAAACAGCTGAAGAAATTTTTTAGTGGTTTTAAGTA